CTCTGAGAGAGTCTCTCTATGTTGATGATTTCATTTCCAGCTCATGTGATGTGGATGAAGCCTTTTCAGTTACCACAACAGCAAAGGAGATTCTGTCTCACGCCGGCATGAACCTGTGCAAATGGGTGACAAATTCACCAGATCTGAGAGCCAAGTGGACAGAAAGTGGAGTGGAGCACACAACAGAAACAGCCAATTGTGGAAATGTACTGAAGGTGTTAGGGTTAGTATGGAAAGCAGAGATGGATCATTTTGTATTTGATCTAAAGGGACTGCTGGACATCTTAAAAAGGCAAAGAAAATACAAAGAGAAGTGTACTACAGACATCAGCTTGAGTATTTGACCCCATCGGTTTCCTGACTCCCTTCACTATAAGAGTAAAGTGCCTGTTTCAAGAACTGTGGGAGAGGGCAATTGGTTGGGATGAGCAGCTGCCTTCAGACTTGGCTGAAAAATGGGATCAGTGGTGTGCAGAGCTGCCAAAGCTCCACCTGGTGGCCATTCCGAGGTGGTACCAAATTGAGATCCAACCAAACTGCATGTCTTCTGCGATGCCAGCGAAAAGGCATACAGTGCTGTTGCCTGCAAGGACAAAACAAAGATGGAGAGGTTGTAACACGTTTTGTGGCCTCCAAGTCAAAGGTAGCTCCATTGAAGAAAATGTCAGTACCCCGCTTGGAGCTTATGGGTGCACTAATCGGGGCAAGGTTAGGGAATAATCTTCTCAAGCCACTCAACATGGAAAAGATTCAGCTTTACATGTGGACAGATTCAATGATCTTTTTCCATTGGATTAATTCGCAGCTCAGCACAAAGGTGGAAGCTGTTTGTGTCAAACAGAGTGACTGAAATACAAGGACTCACAAATCCAGAGTCGTGGGCTCACTGCAGCGGCAAAATCAATCCTGCTGCTGATTTACCTACCGGAGGCCAGAGCGTCGAGAACCTCATTAAAAAATAACTAAGTCAAGAGAACAAAGCAGCAGCAGGTGAACCACAGGAAGAGGATTTGGAACCTTGGGCTTCAGGAATCTGCAAGGAAGCATAAAGATACAGGCAGAACTGAGAAAAGTATCCTATATTTTGGTTAAGCAACCTACCTGTACCACCGGCCACGACAGCAGAGCCAAGGGAAAGAACAAAGGGAACCAGGTGCATTTTATACCCTGCTCTAATGAGGGGAATGTTTGGGGAGGAGTCAGGCCTTGAGTTGCCTTCAGGAGCACTACTCACTACACAAGGAATGGCTTTTCAATTGATGTTCAATTGTAGTTAAGTTGTTTTTATTCTGTAACTGTGTTTCCCATTGGTGTACAAAATGTATTTTCTATGTGCCATGTGTCTTCAATAAAAAATTCCAAACATTACTACTACAGTAAGGGATGGGTATACTCTGAGGGTCCTGGAGTTCAGCCTCACACAGGAGAGATGTTATATCGCTGTGACCTCGGGCCATTGACTCAAACATGAAGAGTTGTTTTGGTGTCCAGAGATACATTGATGTTTTTCACTATACATACTAACATGACTATTGGCTTCATCACATTGTGACCTTCAACACACTCTGGAGCAGTTTGCTACATTTACAGGTGAACAATTACATGTATAAAACAGAACAAAAAACAAGACAAATTAGTTGCTTTGCATAGGTTCATTTTTTTCTTCACTGTTTATTTTTTATTTCACTTGTTTTGGTCTTGTGCAATTCTTTAAAATAATTTGCTCTTCTCCAAATGATAATAGGCACAAACAAATATACAGCACATACACACCTTCTGAAATTGACCAGGGGGCGTACACTGAAACATCTACTACATGTCAATGCAGTCAAAGACAGAATACAAATTAAAAAAATTCTTTATCATGGAAGTGAACAAAAATAGTGTTAATGAGAAAATAAATGTGCTACAGTAATGCAACTTACTAAATATATTCATCAAGTAAAAAAGCTATGAAAGTTGTGGTTATATTTCTGCTCCAGCATGCACCTCATACTTCCAGGAAACACTCCCCGAACACAAACTCCCTGATTATAGTTCCAAGGTTACAGATGAAACTCAACAGTACAGAGGAAGTTTATAGGTCTATAGGTGCTGTGACTAAATCAGAAGTGTATCTTTAGCATTACGTAACATGAGGACCAGAACCTGGCTCTCTCTGGATTACTAATTAAAATGTCATTCTTGGTCAGTGTTTGGTTTCCCATGTCACCTTGTATGTTAATCCATAGTACTTGCTCTCAAGTGGATAAAAACTTGGCACCATGAAATACTTGTTTTTGCTGTTCATCCCACTAGTGCCTGTGTCTGTCCTTCTACCCACTCAGGAGCGCCTGGCCGGGCCACCTCCAGTCCCGTCTCGGCACCAATTAATCTACCAAAAACACAGGAACACACCCGTTAGTTTTTCTACAGGATTTGTCCAGATCAGCTCCCTCAGTCTCGCTTTCTGTGGGGAATTCTGGCACAACACATACAAAACATTGTACCACTGCAGATATAAAATCATACCTGGAAATAATGAGTCATGCATGTTTCGTTATTACTGCAGATGAATAGGTAGCTACTGTAGTTTGGTTAGCAGGGTAGTTACCTTGAAAGCAAATCCAAATGTTATTCCCTTAAATTAGCAGATGGCAAATGAAGGGGCTAACTTTCGTGTTTACCTCAGATGTACTAATTTTTCCACAATTAAGGTACATTTGGAAATCTTTTACAGGGATGTGCCACTTTTTCATTGTTTTTATTGATGGATTCAAGGGGATGGCAACAGTTAAAGTTTGCATGAGCCATAGAGAGGACGGAGTAGAAAACAGCTACTATTCTACATTCGACTTTAATGTAACATATATTTGTAATATAATGTGGTTGTGTCCACAGTACGCACTGCTCATAAAGTAACTTACTGTGGTGACATCATGCTGAGCCATACTACCTGCATAGGATGTTCAATAAGGCTTGTTAGTAGAACGTCTGCATTATCAGGCAGGAGGCCTCACAACGTAAACCCTGAAAGGCCACATCAGTGCTACTGTACATTTCATGGCCATTACATATAAATATTTGTTTTGGCTTTATCCAGGTGTGACTGTTATGGAAATATCTACTGCATGATTTTCATTCTGGAGATGTAAAAGAAAGATAATAATGGCAGAAGAGTGTTTTCTGATCTTTCTCAGAGTGCATTAACGATGGATTCTCAAATGTAGCTTTCTGACAAAACCTTACTTACCACCCCCAACACTGATAGTGTGTCTTTAAAATATGATTCACTGTTACATTATTATATTATATTTTGAAATTCCACTGCCTGTTTGTAGGGTTTGCCAGTGGTGTTCACATATAAAGTGACCCATGCAAAAATATAGCAAATATAAGTTGTTGAGCTGATAACGTTGACACATCCCAGCACAAATGGAATTGAGATGAGCTGCAGGATGAGATCTTTATTCTCCCCCGCCGTTTCAGAAGACAAGATAACATTGGATACCACTTCAATTACAATATGATACAAGGTTATATTGGTTTTATAACGTATTGCTTTTCACATAAACAATGATAATCAAGTGATATATTCTTACATTGCTTATTCCTACAATGTTGAATGGCAATCAGAAAACTATAGAAAGGAGCATTTATGAAATCGGCTTAGGTACTTCACTATGATGAAAAAAGAAAATGGAAAAGTGAATATTAGTTATTTCTCTGATGAAAGGGGGTTGCCTATTTTCTTTCATTACTTCTAAGTGTTCGGAAGACGAGTTTCAACACTTCTCTAAAAACTTTTTTCAAAACTAGATCATAAAAGCTTCTTTGAGGGAGGATTGTTGAATTAAACTGTTTTGTAAACGTTTTTGCCTGGTATATGCTAACAAAGACACAGACACTTTATTGCTAATGTTAATTATGTTAAGACAACTTTGTCCTCAGTTGAGTCCAAGGTTTGATTGGGCTCTCATTTGAATAGCAATGGAGGACATTATTTCTCAACACTGCCGTGTGGTGACTCTAGAGGAGCCTGTTGTAGGAGAGAGTTAGCCCTTATGGATGCTCACAGGAGGAAACTCGTTCTCGTCGTCCAGACACACAGGTCCAGCAGCAAACTCGTGTTCTGGAATGACTTGGCCTTTCTTTGCCCCGCCATCTTCAGAGTAGCCTGGGTAGAAACCGGTAAAGGAGGCAGAGAATCATCTTTACTTACATGCAGACCTGATTACCTCTTGACATTTAATAAGTTCTTATCCTACGGTGGTTATTTCTTTTTCGATATGTTAGTTTGACCAGACAAATAATCTGAATCTGCTTTAAGTTGATCTCCATGTAGTTCCAAGTGTGGTTGAAGGGGGAGGCTATGGCTCAGTGGTCTGATCTTTGGTATCAGGGGAGAGCAACTTCAAGACACTTCAAGACACTTCACCCCTAATCACTCCTGTGGGGATTGCCCACAATACTGAATGTATGGTAGTCACTTTGCATAAAAGCATCTAAGAAGTGACATGTAATGTCATTTTCTTTAGTGGTGTGAAATCAACCAACCACAAGCAGATATTTAATTTTAGCATTATTTCAAAGCTAAAATTACATATCTTATTTCAAAGCTAAAAAAATGATTAATATAAATCTGTATAAGGCTAAAACTAATCCTGTTCATCAGGGACAACATCAATTATAAATAACCTGGTACCCTGGTTAATCTGTTCTGTTCGGATTGGAAATTAGGGGTCTTTTAATGAAACATACGACCTGAATGAGCTGAACTGAGAGGGAAGTCAAACTGCTCTTGTCAGTTACCACTCACCAGTGAGGGTAGCAGTGGTGGGACCAGAGACTGGTAAGGCAGCGGTCGCAGCATAGGATGGACACGCCTGTGCTGGCCCTGTGACCTCTGACCCCTCTGACTCGTCTCCTTCGTCCACGTTATCATCTATACCAAAAAGCCTGAGAGGGAAGGTAAAGAATGAAAACAAGAACACAACATTTTGTTAAGACTTTTTGGAGTTTGGAGTCTCCGAACCTAAATGTACGATTCAGAAGTGTTTTAGTTCCATTGGCTTCAACAGGATCTGTACTGTGAAAAGCTTTTTCAGAACCCACAGGCAGAAAAGTTCCCCTTTTCTACCATGCCTGGATAATATTACAGTTTTAATATCAAAGGAAAAAAATCACAATGCAGGACACAAAGTACATGCTGGCTAAAGCAGAGTATTGCATAACAATGAAACAGTTATTTGAGGTGTACTGTAGGAATAGAACATTATTCTGAGGTTGAACTGAATTTGCAAACTTAACCATCACACATTCAGAAGTGTTTCTTCATTGGTTGTGTGTAGTACATCTGTAATGTCCTTACAGCTGCTCTCAGGCCAGCATCTCTCTTACTCAACTTTGTTAGTTTACTCTGTCCAGCGTAGGTCTGACAACATACCTCACACTCATCCATGCACACACATGCACCACTGACTACACTGTCTCAAGGTCAAGGTTCTTTATTCGTCAAACGAACATAGCTACAGTGTAGTTATGTCAATGAAAATCTTGTGTCACAGGCTTCTCCAACAGTGCAACACAATAAAACAGAAAACTATAGTGCAAGTAAATAGTTAATACTAGTATTCATTTCTTTTACGAGAGTGAAATAGTGCAATAAGAGTCTATATGCAAGTCATTGAAATATGATATATTAGGTAAATAGATCAATATTTTCTAAGTAGCAGCCAGATGAATGTTATGGATGTTGTTTCAACAGTTCAGGTGTTTAACAGTCTTATTGCCTGTGGGATGAAGCTGTCCCTGAGTCTGGTGGTTTTAGTCCTGATGCTGTGGTACCGCCTGCCAGACGGCAGCAGACAGAACAGTGTGTGGCTGGGGGAATGGGGGTCTTTTATAATCCTGAGGGCTTTCTTCCTGAGCCCCTGGGAGTAGAGGTGCTCCATGGATGGCAGCTCCGTCCTGTGCAGTTTTCACCACCCTCTGTAAAGCCTTACGGTTGAGGGCGGTGCAGCTGCCGTACCAGGCCTTGATGCAGCCAGTCAGGATACTCTCTATGGTGCACCTGTAGAAGGTCAGGATGCTCTCTATGGTGCACCTTTAGAAGGTCAGGATCCTCTCTATGGTGCACCTGTAGAAGGTCAGGATCCTCTCTATGGTGCAGCTGTAGAAGGTCAGGGTCCTCTCTATGGTCCACCTGTAGAAGGTTAGGATCCTCTCTATGGTCCACCTGTAGAAGGTCAGGGTCCTCTCTATGGTGCACCTGTATAAGTTGCAGAGTATCCTGGAGTCCATGTTGAACCTCCTCAGCCTGCGGAGGAAGATGAGCCGCTGTTTTGGTGATGGTGTTTGTGTGATGAGTCCATGGCAGGTCCTCATTGATGTGGACACCGAGGAACCTGAAGCTGCTGACTCTCTCCACCGTAGTCCCATTGATGGCAATGGGGGCGTGTCCCTCTCTCTGCTGCTTCCTGTAATCCACAATCAGCTCATTTGTTTTGTTGACGTTGAGATGGAGGTTGTTATCATGGCACCAAGATGTCAGGTTTCCGACCTCCTCTCTGTACGCCGTCTCGTCGCCGTCGGTGATCTGGCCGATGACGGTCGTGTCGTCAGCAAACTTCACGATGGTGTTGGAGTCGTGTGTGTGAACAGGGAGTAGAGGAGAGGGCTGAGCACGCAGTCTTGAGGGGC